TATTACTAATCAAAAATTAAGTTTTGATGTATTTACGGTAGGAAATGTACAAAATATCTTCATGGAACATGATCTTTACTTAATATCCTAATGATTTTTGGCATAAAAGAAAGATTGATAATTTTGACCCATACAATGTATTTTTGGCTATTGCTGCAAATATACCCCAGCGACTTAAGACTGGTTTTGTGCTCCAGGGTCACATATATTAAAGCAGAAAACATAATAATATAACACAATATCACTGTTTTTCCTGTATTTTGTATCAAATAGATGCAGTCCAGGAGAGTATAGGAAACTTCTTTAAAAAACATTTTTAAAAAAACCTAAATGACAACAACAGGCCTTTTTTAAAGATCGCTCTTGAAAACATCTTGTGACAAATATTTATGTGCACTAAGAGGTCTGTATTTATGTTTTCAGCTGGCAGACTCCTGCGATGTACAAGAGCCATTTGAGGGCTCATTCCGTCACCCCTGGCTCTCCAGCGGGCGGCTTGAAGTCCCCCGCGGGTCGCTTCAGCCCAGCCCATCACATGAGCTCACCGGACGTCTGCAGCCCAGCACACTTCAACTACAGTCCCGTGAGCTACATCCAGAGGATCCGACTCAAACATTTCGGCGACGCCCCCATTTAACATGCTCTCCATCCCATCCAGCCCAATTTCTACCAATTAGCAACTGAAATAATAAGCGAATATGGGGATGAAACGTCACAGAGGAGAGCGGTGTCACAACGGAAGCCATGAAATGCTCAAATTGGACTCCTAGTGCCGTGCAAACCGCAGAAAGGATCTCGCAACAGGCCGTCCTTCAGTTTCTATGCTCCTAGGTTCGTAGAACACAGCTCAAATAATAATATGCACATCTCCCGGGGGGTTCCCAAATCATAATAGAAATAGAAATATTCGGTACTTCTGTGTATGACACCCAGTGTGATCTGTAATGGTTGTATAGACTTTTTCTAACCTGTTTTGTTTTCTATTTTCTTTCTTATCTGTGTGTGTGTGTGTGTGCTTGGGAGATGTATCTGTGGAATTACAAAACTGTCTTGAATGGAAATGAACAATTTCCCACTTAACACAGTCATTTAAATTGGGGGAAAAAAGATGTCCATGTATAAACACAGAAACCCAGAGCTAAATTTAAATAACGTAGTATTAAATTATTGAATTATTTTTGCTAGTTAACTGTCAGTAGCACAAAATACTCATTTTAATGGTTTTTAAGGTTATAAAAGAAAAACGTCACCTGACTGCCAGGAGTTATTTTTATTCCTTGATTGGAGAACTGCCTTAAATTTCTAATTAAAAAAAAAAAAGACCAACTTCTGAATCTCAAAAGCAGGTGTTGATTCTTGCTTTGCTAATAGCAGCCTGGGGGGGAGCAAGAGGTCTATAACGTGTGAGTATTCCCTTTTTAAGTTTAATAAATGTGATTTATCATTTCTATGTATCTATGTATTCTATGTTTATCTGTGTGTGTGTGTGTGTGCTTGGGAGATGTATCTGTGGAATTACAAAACTGTCTTGAATGGAAATGAACAATTTCCCACTTAACACAGTCATTTAAATTGGGGGAAAAAAGATGTCCATGTATAAACACAGAAACCCAGAGCTAAATTTAAATAACGTAGTATTAAATTATTGAATTATTTTTGCTAGTTAACTGTCAGTAGCACAAAATACTCATTTTAATGGTTTTTAAGGTTATAAAAGAAAAACGTCACCTGACTGCCAGGAGTTATTTTTATTCCTTGATTGGAGAACTGCCTTAAATTTCTAATAAAAAAAAAAAAAGACCAACTTCTGAATCTCAAAAGCAGGTGTTGATTCTTGCTTTGCTAATAGCAGCCTGGGGGGGAGCAAGAGGTCTATAACGTGTGAGTATTCCCTTTTTAAGTTTAATAAATGTGATTTATCATTTCTATGTATGCATTTGTTTGCACTTTTAATTCTTTTTGGAGTTTGACACAGTTCGTCGTGAGCAACAGATGAGACTCGGTTTGAGCCGTGCCACATTCAAGCACATGCAGAGTTGATGATCGATAAGGAGTGCGTCTTGTTCCGTTAATGTCATAAAGACTTGATGATTGTGGATCCAGAGTGTTGTAAGTGCACTTTTAAGTGCCCCTATTATGGGTTATGAAAGGTTCATATTTTGGTTTTGGGAGTCCCCAACAAGAGGTTGACATGCATGCAAGGTCAAAAAACACTTTCATTGTCTTATAATATGCATTTATTTTTACCTTACTTGCTCAACGACTCCCAAACGATTCGTTTAACGATTCATTTTTCCAAACCCCTCTTTTGCGTGACGCTAATCGGCGGTGATTGGTCTCATTTTCATTTCATCTTGCCTGTAATGCCCGATAAAGCAGTGTTTGTGAGCGCAGTGCTGCTTTGTGTACAGTGTTACCGGGGAAACAGCTACCGCTCCAACAGCGGCACCTAGTGGCAAAGAATGAATTTGCATTTTCATTCAGACCAACAAGTAGGCGGGCAATATGCTAATGTTTCATTTTGACGTCAACATGAAACAGCTTGGGATTTGTTTAAAAACGACTCGTTTCAATGATTCAGAGTCGACTCTTTCTTTTGAGAGACAATAACTTTATACATGTTACCGGGGAAACCGCTATTTTACAGCTCCAAAAGCGGCACCTAGTGGCAAAGAATGAATCTGTATCTTCATTCAGACCAACACGAAAAGACCGACAAGTGGGCGGCAATATGCTAATGTTTCACTTTGACGTCAACATGAAACGGCTTGGGATTCGTTTTAAAAACGACTCGTTTCAATGATTCAGTCGGCTCTTTCTTTTGAGAGACAATAACTTTATACACGGTGCACTTACAGTTTTAAAATTCGGCAGGATGTTTTCATTCACGTAGAGCTGTTACACACTGCATGAAAGGTCACTTTCAAAAATCCATAATAGGGGCACTTTAAATGTGTTCAGAAAAGATCAGTCCATCATCCCATCATAAATGGACAATATTTTAGGCTCACCGCTAGATCCTGTCGATGCGATTCTCTCGCTGGCTTTTGAAATGGATCAGTTTGCCAGATTCAATCCATTGGTTTTGGAATCAAAGCTACATGACTAAAAGCAGAAAAGCTCCAGGTAGCTCAGTTTTATGTGATGACTATCTCAAGGAATTGAGTCCAGAACATGCTCTGTGGTACTTTCAGATCATGTGATCTATTTCTTTGGTGCCCATCTATCTGAGCTTTAGTGCCTTTGATTATGATCTGTTTGGAACATACGGAACACAGATGCACTGACCACATACAAGCTGAATAGACCTTTTTTTTCTGTTTCCTAGGATAAAATACAGTACGGTAGCATTGGCATATGCAGTGTCTGAATACCTCTTTAAAATGATTGTAAGAGAAGAAAAAAGGTTTACAGTTTAGTTATTGCTAGTGTTGTATCAATGCCAGCCTTACTCTTTTGTTAAATTATGCTTTGTAGTGTTAACACTGGTGATTTGGAAATGAGTTGCAGTTTGTTGAGAATTGAATTATTGTCCTGTCCTTTACGTTGCATGCATTTCTAGTCCTATTTTATTACAGTATACGTTAAAGAAGAGTATTTGATGTTCTATTGATGAACGATAAATAAAATGCGCAGTCTTGTAATTTTACTGACTTTCTCTGGCTCTACAAGAAAACTTTCGTTATTGAAAAGTAGCAAATTGAGGTACAAAACACATTCAGATTTCTCCCATTACTGTATTTGTAAATGATAAGGTCTTTTTATTTTGTGCATGACTGTTCAAATGTTTAGAGCCTGTCTCTTATGCTCACAAAGGCTGCATGTATTTGATCAAAAAATAGTAAAGCAGTAATATTGTAAAACATTTTTACAATTTAAAGTAACTTTTCCTATTTTTATTCCTGTGATGACAAAGATGCAGTCTGCAGTGTCTCATGATCCTTCAGAACGCATTCTAATATGCTGATTTGCTGCTCAAGAAATATTTCTTATCTATGATGAAAACAGATGTGCTGTTTAATATTTTTTCTGAAAAATCGACTTTTTTTTTCAGAATTCTTTAAACCGAAAGTTCAAAAGAACAGCATTTATTTGAAATATAAATTGTCTTTACTGTCACGTTTGATCAATGTATATATATTTTATACATTTCTTTAAAATAATCTTACGCCACACTTCCAAAAACCATATTTCTTTAACTAGAATAAAAAAGGTAGATTCTGCATAAAGAAAAAAAAGTGTCCAATTAGGATTACTTTTTATTTACATAAATATTTGTTTACTGTGTTAGTCAAACAAAAGTGCAAGTCACAATGCGAAAATTACTCAAGGTCCTAAAATAGGCTTAATGTCCTAATTATTATTATCATTATTTTTCTTCTTCAGGTAAAATACGACCTGGACATTTTTTTTAAATCCATTACCTGAATCAAACAATAAATAACACTAGTAAACAACTCAATGAATTAATTTTTTACTGCTATAAACAATTCTCAATTCTCATCCTCAACGGCAAGATTCTCACATTTGAGCAAACTCAAACCTTGCCTCTAAAACAATCATAAACGATTCCAAGTAAACAGTGCAAATACACCAACTGCCTCAACAAGGCCTCCAGAGTTTACATAATGCTACTGGAAAAAGACACCTCGTCATAAACATAAAAAGTACACTTGCTGGTTAATTCCACCTTCGATCAGACAAAGCATGGCACAGGAGTGTCTAATTGAAGAAACATCAATAATTCTGAACTTGCTTGTTTTTAAAAATACAAAATCAATACACACAAGACACTTGTGGAGTCACTGATCAACACAGCAACAGATGCTAGAGTTTCAAATGAAATTTTCACAGCAATCTTCTAAATTGCAGCTATGCGAGATTTTTATTAAAGTTGATGAATATGAAATCACACTCCGTATTCTGGAATACTGTGACTCTGAAACAGCATTAAAAAAAAAAGTTCAGGAGAACATTTAAGGAATTTTTTTGATCCTTTGCAACTCTAGCATCTGTCCATCTCAATGATCCTTCGGTTCTAGGCTGTTTTGAGGCATGCTGGTCTAGCTTGAGAACGTCATGTCCGGGTGAGTTTATCTGGAGGCATGAAGCCCGAGTCTCCCAGCGCTCTGAGAGCCACTCGGCCACTGGGCCGAATCGTCAGCCAGGTGATGCTGCCGTTGTTCAGGCCCATCCTCAGCCAGCCCTCTGGAGGAAACTGCAGAGCCCTGGAACAAACATTTCCATTACAGTCATGCTTTTGACATTTTCTTGGAGCGGAACAGTTACCTCAGCATGTTCCTGACGAGTCATGTGAACAAACAGATTACACAACATGAGTTTGCGGGTGGCTGAAATAGTCAATTTACACAAATTCAGAATCAGAATTCGCCAAGTGAGCATTTGTTGTGGTTTTTCAAGAAACTAGCGCAAGAATTGAGAAAATTTGTCATAACCACACAATGTAACTAATAAACTAAATAATATAATTAATAAATATTATTTTAATAAATAGAAATGAGTGAAATTTAATGCAAATATATATTTTTTCCATTCTATAAAGCTTAAAGGGTTAGTTCACCCAAAAATGAAACTTCTGTCATTAATTACTCCGCCTCATGTCGTTCCAAACCCGTAAGACCTTTGTTCATCTTAGGAACACAAATGAAGATATTTTTGATGGAATCTGAGAGCTCTCTGACCCTGCATAGACAGCAAGGGTACTACCACGATCAAGGCACAGAAACGTAGCAAGGACATCGGTAAAATAGTCCATGTGACATCAGACTATTAGACCGGACTATTTTTCAGTGTTGGGAGTAACGCATTACAAAAGTAATAATATTACAGTAGTATATTACTTTTTGCTGTAACGCAGTAATATAACGCATTACTAATAAAATTTGGGTAATATTATTACTCGTTTCAATCTCAGTAACACAAGTTACAACAACATTTAAACTCAAAATTAAGTGGTGAATTTACCAACACCGCAAAACAGCACCTGAGAAAAAAAATTCCGCGGGTAAAATAGTTTGTCTATTTCCTGTTGCTGGAATTAAATGGTTGAGATGACTGCAGAGACGGATTCTACATTTGTGAGATGGACACACTCCTGTTATTTTCAGTTCGTCGGAGAAAAGCATAAGAATGCATAGTCAGGTGCAATATGTGCGACACCAAACTCTCAACATGGAGAAATAGCACGAGCTATCGGAGAGAGCTGCGGGGTCAGAGAAGAGAAAAAAGGCGGCGGACGAGCGCAGACAAGCAACAAAAATAAGTTTAACTAAAAATAACAAAATCTGTTTTTATTAAATCATAGTCTATAAAATTAATGAATATGTGAAATATTTGACTTAGCCTAATTAACAGATTAACAAAAGGAAAGGAAAAGACAGAGATATGCTGCTGAGTTTGGTTGGCGCGGCGCTCTACGAAAGTCCACGGAAAGGAAACCGAGATGACAGAAATAAAAGTAAACACATTGCAGTTTCGAATGATCTGTATGACCAAAAATGAAGAAGTATTTTTTTTGTTGTTTCCGCTGTTCGATCGCGCCGGCGCCTCACGCACACACAGCATTGCAAACGTTGCAGCCTGTTCATTATCAGAATAAAATACAGTCAACCAAACATATAGATACACTGATTAATTTAAATAGTGCGTACTGCGTAGTTACAATCCGTGCCGTTCAGCCTGAGCTCGGGCCAAACACACATTTGCTCATGTGAAGAGGATGTTTTTTTAAGCACGTTAAGTAAGCCTGGTTTACATAATAAATAATAGTTTAGCATTCAAATACATCGCAAATATGGCCACATTTAATTGGATTAATGCCGAATGAGAGCGGTAGGCTGCGCGAGAACGCAGTTTGCTTTCAGTTTCGCATTGAATTAGCCCGCCTAATTCGTTTTGGCTTGTTTAGCAACTTATATTTTTCATTCTTGTTTTCTTCCGAAACCGTTCAAAATAGCCTATAGGCTAGTAGGTATTGTGTTTATTGTTTGTATATTATAACATTTCGCTTTATTTACCGATGTTATTTATGAATGTAATAATGCGGTTTGTGCTTATCTGTGTTTAACCTAAACTAGGCTACAACGTAACATTAATGTAGACCTATACCGGTATCTAAATATGATTTTATAATTTTATGCTTTATAGACCTACCACATTACCCTCCACTGGATGTAGAATGAGCAGCAATAAACTACATTTTGGCATTTTGTAATACTTATGTGGGTATTTTGGTGAAAGTAACTCAAAAGTAGTGTAACGCATTACAATTCAGAGACAGTAATATTGTAATGTAACTACCGGTAATTACTTTCAAAGGACAGTAACTAGTAATATATAATGTATTACATTTTGGAAGTAACTTGCCCAACACGGACTATTTTACCGATGTACTCGCTACGTTTCTGTGCCTTGATCGTGGTAGTATCCTTGCTGTCTATGGAGGCTCAGAGAGCTCTCAGATTCCATCAAAAACATCTTCATTTGTGTTCCGAAGACGAACAAAGGTCTTATGGGTTTGGAACGACATGAGGCGGAGTAATTAATGACAGAATTTTCATTTTTGGGTGAACTAACCCTTTAAACTCTTGCTTTAGAGGTATGAGCAAAAGCAATAGGGATGTTTGAGTTTGCAATAACTACTGATAAAAGGTTGCAAACAGTTTTTCACAAATTCCATATATTTAATATGGAAGCTAATTTCTACCACATAAGAACATTATGCTCCAGTAAACCATAATTATGAGACAAAAAGTCACATTTTTGTCAGAATTATGACCTTATCTCATAATTAGCATCTCATAATTTCAATTTTGTCATAATTATGAACTACCCAAGCATAATTATTTTTTCTTATGTGGCTGAAATGGGCTTCTATGAAACTTTTGCAACCACACACACATAATACAAAGTGATCAGAGCATACTTACGATTACAATCATTCTCCATGGACAGACTGCTGTGGTTTTTATAAAATGTTTTTTTTTTTTTTTAAATGAAAGTGTCAAAGAGCACAAAAAGGAAGATAAAAAGACTGCACTAAGTAGCAAGTGAACACAAACCTGCACACAAAATAGCGGATGACATTAGCATGACAGACGATGATCTCGTAGCTGTCCTCCTTCTGCTTAGGGTCCGCTCGGTGGATGTAGCGGCGGTACGCTGCCTCGATCCGCGCGCCGTCCTCATGGTACTGCTGAAACCAGCACAAGAGTTTCACAACCATCCACGTGAGGAGAGGAAGGACTCTGCAGCGCACCCACGACAAAACCAAACCCAACATTCTCCAAAAAACATTTCAGACATCAAGCTTTAGGATGACCAGCGGGAAAACAAGAACACTGATGTTTGTTGAAGAAATTTGGAATGGTTTGTGGGTTTTGTACGCCAGCAGTAACCTTAGCAGATTGTTCTGTTATGACTTGAGTCATCAGCAGAAACAAGACACACAAAGACAATCAAACGTGGGGACTAACAGACAGGGCCTTCAGACTGGCTAAGTAAGACTTTGCACTGACCACTGCCTCAGGTTTCCAGTGCGTGACAGGTGGGACGGGCTCTATGGGCGCACCCTCTCGCAGTAAATCACAGCTCACAAGCTCCACACCTATAACACAACATGAAGAAAATAACAATTCAGAATCTCTACTACGGCAACACTACATATTTATCCTTTTCCATGCTTTTTTTTAAGCCTTACAGTTAAAATCAGGGCCTGAATTTCGTTTTGGAAAATGGGGGAATTCCCCCTTCAGGTGACTCTTATGGGGGGATTTTTTTAATTTGAGGGGGGAGCTGGGGTATTTTTTAGACCTATTTTTAAACTACTATCATCTAATCTAAAAATGTTTTGTCACGCAGTGTAATTGTGTTTCATAACGTTGTTGATTCATATTTATATTATGAGGAAGATACTTAAAAAGTACTTTGATTTTAAACTCTGAATTTATTTTAACTAAAAAAGACAAGTAGTAAAATAAGAATAGATAAATGACAAGCAATGACAGATAAATACAATAAGATACAAATGAAATTAATGTGCTTTACGTTTTTCAGGCAGGTATAACAGTAATATTCAGGTACAGAAATACCACAGAAACGGAATAATCTATTCAACTTTAAAATAACACTGATTAGTCTTCTGTGTCCAAATAAACATGAATGGCAGACAGTAGCGGGTTTATTTAGGTTGCGGTCTCTTTAAGACCTCATGCGCGGATCTAACATATACTGTTACACATAAGTTTTGTTTCTCAATGGTTTACATTCACTTAATAGCCAATACTGACCATGTTTAGTATAAATCGGCTGTGTTTACGTGAATACTCATCATTTTGACAATTTTGTATGTATTTGGCAGTTTACGCACAATAAGGCTCAACACATAACTTAATTCTGAAGTCGCGAGTACTGAATTGAGTTCTCTTTGGCGTCATCTTACACAGACTAAAAAAAGCACGTGCAAATGATACATTCCATCATCATTCCCGAACTTCTTTCAAGATGAAATATTTGTGGGAATTTCCGTGTTACAAGCACGGAAACGAGTAGAAATAGGCGCAATACCCTCAATCCTGCACCAAAATCCAAGCCCTGAAAATGTTCTATTTTAAACCGCTCAAGCGTAATAAGATGTGAAGGGGAACTCAATTCGGTATTTGCACAGTGTTCTGACAGATGTTTACATCTAAAGTGCGCCTACAGAAAGCTGCCCGTCACAGCAAGCAAGCACTGAATTCCGGTTTGTTTTTGTTTTTTTGCTTTAAGCTTTTATCGGTCAAAATGTCAGTCTTGGGGAGTATTCATATAATATCTAAAATATCAGTTTTTGCTGTAGTATTGAAATAATCAGGAATTGTGAAATTTTCATGTCATCTAAAATGCTGTCATTGTAATCACCTTATTTCAAACAAAACAACTATTGTGATATATATACTGCAGTTATCTTGAAAAATCTAATTACTCTTATTGCAATATACATTTTTGGTGATATCGCCGCCCCGAAACACACAAAGCTATCATACAAGTCTCAGAATACAGCACACAAGTCATATGGATTTGCTTCTTTTTTTTGGAGGGGGGTCATTTTTAGAGCCTGACATTATCCATCCACATTTACTTTGACTGTAAGGAGGACAAAACATCCAGGAGATTTTGCTAAACTTCTTTTGTGGGGTTTTTTTCAATACCATGCCAGCTTCTATGGCTAGATTCATGACAAGAGCAAGGTTTAGGTATTCGAGATATTTAAACATGTGACGTGCCCTGTAAGCATCTCTCTTTTTCTTTATTAGTTAAGTTAACTTATTACTTTAATTAGTTTATTAATGCACACACTTTTAACAACAAATGCGTCTTCTTTCAAAAGACACCACAATGAAATGCCTGCTACAAGCCATTATGACTTGTATGATCATGCAATCATAACTGAATTAAATTAGGTGAAGAAGAATAGAACAGTTTTAGCTGAAAGGTTTAATCCTAGATCAACTCTTCAGTAGGGCTGTGTATTGGCAAGAATCTGGCAATACGGTACGTATCACGATACAAGGGTGCGATACGATATGTTGGGATACATTGCAATACTTTAAGCAAGGACAATATATTGGGATATTTCTTATTTTAGGAATAGGATATACTTTTAGGAAAGCTGTCATTAAGAACACCATATGCAATCCTTAGCAAAAAATAATAATAATAATACGTAAAAATATATTATTTAACCAGAACACAGTGGAAAATGCATACATTAATCAGTTCCTGTAACATTCAACGTTATTGAACCACTTTTAGTGCAGTACGAGTCAAGGGGGGAAAGTAAAGTGCTTGCAAGATTCTTTAATTAAATTAAATGTATAAAGCTGTTATAATCAGACCATATTTATTTTTAGACAAATGGTACTAACTTGCGCTTATCCGGATTGTTCAAACCGACTTAAAACTAAAAGATTACATTCTCTTGTGCGAACTCATTCGAGAGTGGTGACTTTCCACGTATGAAAGTGATGCCTTAAGTTATGGTTGATTGCTCTTCGGCTGGATATCAACACACCCATTAGTGGTGTATTAAGAGGTAAAAAATGATATAAATACTGCTCGGTTTCTGGCACAAACCGATCGTTTCGTGTCTTAGGACATCAATGTGTCGTCACGAGCCGCAGGGTTTAATTTGGATTTGTCTGTGCATGTTTTTTTTTACTCTCATAGATTTTGTTTCCAATGCCATGCATTATACAACTGATAGACTGCAACGGTTGGAGTTAAAAATCATCAAATGTGTTCTACTGAAGAAACAAAGTCACCTACATCTTGGATGCCCTGGGGGTAAGCAGATAAACATCACATTTTCATTTTTGGGTGAACTATCCCTATAAAGGTTCATAGTTCAGATTTACTATTGAAACATACAATGTCATAACATTTTTAGAGAGAAGACGACTGCTATCTAGCGGTCGGGATATAAACTCAAAACAACTGCAATGAATCTTGTATGATTTTTTTTTTTAAATATCGATATTGCATTTTTGAGAATCGATACAGTATCGCCAAACAAAATAACGCGATACTCACGTGTATCGATGTTTTCTTCAGAATGAGTCTGTACCTGGCAGGTATTTGCTGATGATGCTGGCTGTCTCTGTAGCTCTGGTCATGGAGGAGTGGATGAGAACGTCGTACTTCAGTCCGAGCGCCGCTAATCTCTGTCCTGTATACTCAGCCTGTTCACGTCCTGCAGCCAAGACAGAAACCAGCATGTGATCTACTCGGTGGCATGTAATGGATTCATTTGAGCACTTCTATCATTTGATACATGCTGAGGGATCAGTACCTAAAGGAGTCAGTATCCTCTCTTTATCTCCATCCCCCTTGAGGTTGTACTGAGAGTGTCTGATGAGGAAGATGTGGCGCGTGGCTTTGGGTTTGCTGCTCTCCGCATCTGGACTTCCACTGTCGCCGGCACTCTCCTTTCTCTTCCCGTTCACCAGAGATGAGGGGTCACGTCTGAAAGCATCAAAAAGTGTTCAAACTAGCCATTCCCAAAGTAGGCCCACTGAACTCAGTCCAGTATGACTGAAACATACGCTGCATCGAAGGCATACATTTTTAGCAGTTGAGAAAATAGCTACAACATGGTTGATAATATCCACTGTTTATGAACACACACAAAAACATTTAAAATAGCTGCAACGGTTTTAAAAATCACATTCACGTGTTTTATTAATGTTTGAAGACTATTGACTATATGTTAAAGGTTTGCTGCTTTACCTTATTTTTTCATAGTTTCATCATTTTGATGAATTTTACTGAATCCCAGATTGTAAACATTGCACAAGGGTCGAGTCTGTAACTGAAGCTGAAACTGTCAGTGGGCAGACCCTTTCAAAAGTGCTTATAAGAAAGCACAGCATGAAAGAAGAAACTATATTAGTAACACTTAACAATGTCTAAGACTAAACCTTCCTAAGCAAAAAATAAATCAATAAAAAAGGTCACAGACACCATTTTAAACACTGCCAAATGCGTTAGTGGTTAAAGACCTGGGATCAAACCGTTAATTATAACCACGGATCAAGGCATTAATCCTCAGGCTACACGAACTCGCCATAAATGATTTTTGGACATGGTGCTATGGCAACACAACGGTTTTCTGAACATGTACGATGGTAGTACCATGTTATTCTTAGAGATACCTTAAAATACTATGTAAATACAATAGTAATCAATCAGAAATAAGTCTCTATTGCTTACTTGTCCCAGTTATAATCCCATCCGTTCGCAGTGGGCCATGCCGGAGGCTGCGCCGCTCGCACGGCAGCCAGAGTCTCTCTTAACCGGCATCGGTCAGCGAAGTAGCCGTGCTTATCTGCCGCGACCGCCGCGCACACCAGCACCGCGGATCCGCCGGCGAAGCCGCACGCAAGACTGACCGCTCTCCGAAACGACATGATTTAAAAGAGAGGAGTCAACGGAAAGTAACGTTAACGGCTGCTCTTCAGCGCTATGACGCGCACTGAGGAAGTCCCGCCGTTTCCTCCTTTCAAATTTTAATTTATATAAACTGAAAATGGCATGAAAGCTGTCACAGGTACCTCGCGATGACTATTAATAAAAAAAAAACAATTTAAATTTTTTTTTTCCCTAAGCCATGTGTAAGAGAATGTATTTGGACTCGAGAAACTTCCAAAAGCGGTCACGACGCATGTGTGAAAACAGCGACAAAAAAAAAACGTTATTTCCGAAAATAAAAGTCCCCAGCATACAAACTAACAGTTTACAAGTTATCCGTTTTTCTTCAAACAAATACATTTTTTAAAACATTTTCAAATATGCTTAAATATTGATTGTGCTTTATTCAATTACGTAGTTTGTTTTATACGTATTAATTAACGTAATAAATTACATTGAATAAAATACAATGAATATTTAAGCATATTTGAAACTGCTAAAAGTGTTTATATGTGGGTGTGTGTGTCACTTTTAGCAGTTTCAAATATGCTTAAATCTATGCTTAAATATTCATTGTATTTATGCAATTAATTCTACACTTTGACATATTTACGTCATATTTATTTTTCTATATTAGGCTATATTATTACATTTTGCTCCAGACCTGTAGATGGCAGTAAAATATCAGCAGCAAATGAGCAGCAGATTTATGTTTTGATTATGGTGGCGACATGTTTTGCTGTATATATCATATATCCACTTATCATATATCCACTTATCTGTCCCTTGAGTTGTAGTAAAGATGGACACGGACGAGGATCGCAGTTTAGAGTCAGACATTCTGGAGACAGCTGGGTTCATAACTGGACGACTGCGCCAACTTGATGTTTTTATTATAGCCTCTTAAGACCCGAGAAAAGATTTTTAGGGGAAAAATAGTTTTTTTCATGTCTTTACATTGTTTAGACTAGAGCATTAAAAACAATTAAAAAATTTTTTTTTTTAATGATATTTCATTCTTAAGTTATGCTATGTCCTCGGTAGAGGACATCGGGACTCATTGTAAAGGGGTCATATGATGCTTTTTTAAAGATCCTTATTTTGTGTATTTGGTGTAACAGAATATGTTGACATGCTTTAATGTT